AGGAGCAGCTGAGGGCACTTGGTCTGTTCAGCCTGAGGAGACTGAGGTCAGACCTCATTGGGGTCTGCAGCTCCTCCCAAGGGACAGCTCCCATCTCTGCTCTGTGTGACAGGGACAGCACCCAGGGAAGGGCTGGAGCTGTGCCAGGGCAGGCTTATGTTGGATTTTGGGAAAGGTTCTTCCCCCAGAGGGTGCTGGGCACTGCCCAGGCTGCCCAGGGAATGGGCACAGCCCTGAGGCTGCCGGAGCTCCAGGAGCTGCCAGAGATGCCCAGGGTGGGACTGTTGGGGTGTCTGTGCAGGGCCAGGGGCTGGACTGTGTGGTCCTTGAGGGGTCCCTTCCAGCTTAAGATATTCTATGAAATCTGTGCTTCTCTTGCTGCTGTTTAGTGTTTCTGGGGTGAGTTTTTTTTCCAATGCTGTCTGTTGTAATGATTCACATTATTAATTTGATTATTGTTTTCTGCACTTCAAATCTCACCCAACCTTTCCAGCAGCTGTCAAATTTAACAAAGTTACTCAAAGTTGTCAAATTTTACTTGTCACTTCAGATCCAGGATGTTCATTAACGGGTTTCTGTGGGTAAAACAGATTTTGTCCAAAGGGGAGCTGCAGGTGTCGGACAAGGAGCGGCACACGCAGCTGGAGCAGATGTTCCGGGACATCGCCACCATCGTGGCTGACAAGTGCGTGAACCCCGAGACCAAGCGGCCCTACACAGTGATCCTCATCGAAAGGGCCATGAAGGACATCCACTACTCTGTCAAACCCAACAAGAGCACAAAGCAGCAGGTGAGTTTCCTGCAGTATCAGCTCCTGCTCCGAGGTGCTGCCATCCAGTGTAATTTCTCGGGCCTCAGCCACAGAGGGATCAACAGAGCTCTGCGATCTGAGGCCTGCACAGGGATTACTCAGCCATCTGGCAGCTGAGTGCTGCAGAGAAGCAGCTCCTGAAACTCTGTCAATTTGTTTGCTAAGAATTCAGGGAGGGGAGAAAGAAAGGAAAAAAACCAACAGTGATACACTTAGAGCAGAAATAAAAGGTTTATGATTTACACTAATTGAGGTGGTATATCAGTTTTGCATTTGAGCCATGTGGGTTTGTGGTGTTTTGCAGTATAGCTATTTAATTTTATTTCAGACAGCTTTTAAGTGTTCAAAGTGATCACAAACAAGTCAGCCTTTTCTTGTTATCTGTCAAAAGAGCGTGATAGCAGCCTCCCTGCAGCAGAGCAGCAGTGACCAGCACTGAGAGATGGCTCTGAAGCTGGGGAAAAGGTTTGAGATTTGGATCTGGGTGCTGGGTTTTAAGCAGGTGTGCATGTGGTCTTTTTCTTGTCCAACAGGCCCTGGAAGTGATCAGGCAGCTGAAGGAGACCATGCAGATTGAACGTGCTCACATGAGGCTGAGATTTATCCTGCCAGCAAAGGAGGGCAAGAAACTGAAAGAGAAGCTCAAGCCACTGATTAAAGTTACTGAGAGTGAAGACTTCCAGGAACAGCTGGAAATGGTAAGCAAAAAGCAGTCCCTGGGGTTCAGGTTTGATTTGAACTACGCATGTGTATTTTACTAGGAGATGAATTCATATATGGAAGCTGTTTAGATAAACTGAAGGCTCACCAGAGATCCTGAATGAGAGCTGCAGTTGGGAACTTTTAATTTCATACAATCCTAGTGATGTGGGCATGGAAGCAGCCGTTGGCATCCAGAGGTTGCTGCTCCAAGCTGAGGAGTGCACAGTGCAATTCCTCTTAGCAGTGATGATCCTGCAACACTGATAAGTCTCTCTCATATGTGAAATGTTATTGTTACTTATTTGGTAGCTTCTGTCTAGACTTTAAGGGTGGCTAATTATTTTTTTAAGGTTGGTGGGTGATAAAGCAAAATTTGGTATTAATATCTTCATACAAACAGATTAGAATCCAGCAATCCCAACTGGCAAAAGCCATGTCCAGCATGGGGAACTGGAACTGTAGAGCTCTGTGGAAAATTTGCAGCCAGAGTTTGTCAACTCTTCGGACTCCTCCTCAGTAACTAACTAGGATTGTTTTAATGAAAGTGAATGTTAGGCTTTGGGTAGGGCCTGATGAAATCCAAACATTCTTGGCTAACTGATGAAATGTGGAACATTCCAGGTGTGCCTTATTGACCCAGGCTGCTTCAGGGAGATTGACGAGCTGATCCGCAGTGAGACAAAAGGAAAAGGATCCCTGGAAGTGCTCAGTCTGAAGGATGTTGAGGAAGGAGATGAAAAGCTTGAATAACAAAATCTTCCTGCAGCAGATCTGCTTCAACACCCTCCCTGCAGTGACTGGTGTAGCCACTCTTCTGTTAGGCCTTCATGGTTTTTTCCAATCTCTTGCTGCCAAATATTTTCTGACACTAATCCTTTGGGATTTTTCCATGCAGTGTGGGTTGGGGTTTTTTTATCATTTTACACTTGCTTGGTTTACAGATGTCTTTGCCTGTAAGAAGATTTTGTGTCAGAGTTGCACTAATAAGAACTGAGTTAGGGTGTGGTAGGAGGTTACTCTGGCTTTGCTCTAGTTTCAGTGTTGCTGTTGAAAAGTGTTTGAGTGATTTGGTGCCAATTGTTTGTACCTTCAGGTTGTCAGTGTTGAGTGGGAGATTGCACTGGTCACTGAGGAGTGGCTTTGTATGTGAGGAGAGGGACCTTAAGAAAAGAAAGTTGCATTTTCACTTCTAAACAGGTGCAGTGTGGATCATGTCTAAAAATCAGTCTCTTGGCAGTGTGAAAACTGATTTAGGCTTCCATAATTGGCTACTTGGTAATTAAAGTACTTCAATGGACCATTCATAAAGAATTCCTTCACTGGCTATAGCAGCACTTGCTGACGTAGAGATGATGTTCTCCAAATAACTTATTTGTAGAATATATTTAGCTACATTAATAAAAACAAATTATCATCTATTTATATATTATAGATACAGAAAGAAATAAGATACTTATTTTTGTTACTAGTAGAGGAGATATCCCTGGCTGTGGCAATGCTTTTGTAGGCTTAGGGAGTAGCCTGTGCTTGGGAGCTGCTGCTTTCACATGATAAAATGAATCTCAAACAGGCAGTGGTGGCCTCTGGCCATGGAGCCAGACAGGCTTTTGTTGGACAGTAATTCCCAGCAGGAATTGTTTGTGCGTGCCCCTTTGCTTTTTAGCGCAACCGAACAATTCTGGCAGCTGTCCTTTATCCTCTGTCCTTTTTTTTGCTGCTCTCTAATCCATGCACAGAATTACCAGCCAGCTCCTGAGGCATGGGATATAGTTCTTGCTAATTCTGTTAAATCTTGCTGCAGCTGTGTTAAACAAATGATTTAAAGTTGAACTGGGGTATTGCAAAGAAAAGGGGAAGAGAGGACAACAATGGGGGAAGGAGATACTAAAAATACAAACCACCAGGCAAAGCAGATATGGTTCAGTGACTTAAAGCTAAATCAGCAGGAATTTGAGGAGCCTTTAATATGACATTCCTGTTTCCATGCAGATAGCAGGCAGCAGGTGAGGAGCTGTGGGCCAGCCAGGGAGATCTCTCCCAGGGGAGCATGGTGCTCTTTGGTTGCTGTTGCCTTCCAGAGACTCCCCCTTCTGTGACAGTTAAACAGAGCTGGGTTTGAGCTGGGTTTCCTCTGCACCTTTAACTCATTGTGAATTTCCTGGAATTTCATCAGGGAGGTCAGCTGGAGGAGGAGAGGTTTAGCATGTGAGGTGGCTGCAGGGCTGGAACTTCAGTGCAAGGCTGCCCCTTGGGAGTGGATTTCTGCAGCAGCCAATTTGTGTGCACTCGTGCAAGGCCAGGATCAATTCTTTCAGCAGTATTTTGGGAGGATCTGCCTCTAGAGCCTGAGTTTTGCTGAGGACAGGTGAAACAGAGATTCTTGAACCACTTCATCAGTTTTAAAATGCTTTTGTTTGCTCCCAGGGGTTTAAATGCTGCCTAGGAAATGCAGGGGTGTAGTGACTGCATATGCCATGCGGACAGGGCTCAGTGTGGAGAGCTCTGTGTGCACAGGCAGCTCCCCTGGGTACCACCCTGGGCTGCTGCCTTCATGTGCCTCTCTCTCCAGACACACTTTGGGAAGCACTGAAGATGATCATGTTGATATTTAGCTTGTCACTGGAAATTAGCACTAACATGCAATTCATAAATATGCAAATTAGATGCTGAGCAAGAGCCTCAGAGGATATTGTGTCAGTAATACCTGATTTCACATTTCTTTAATTTCTTGGTTTGCTGTGTTTAACACCTCGAGCACAACAGGATGGCAGCACGTTAAAGATCTGGAGTTCCAGAACTGAGTCTAAGCTGATTCATGAGCTTGGTGCTAGGAAGGCAATTTCTTTATAAAGTCTTTTTCTGCAAATCCAGACATTAAGGATTTTCTCTGGTAGAGGGAGCTTGAGTTTATTTATGGACAAATAAAGATACATGCTGGCATTTCTTGTCATGTTTGTAGTTCAGCAAGAACATATGGTGAGCATCAGAATAAAGCTCAGGATTGGTAAATGGTTTGTCTTTGCCCATTCCAACAAGACCATAACTCCCTGCACAACCATTTCCTGGCGAATTAACTGAAATTTTCAGATAGGTGGGCATTTAAATAAGCTGGCAGCTTCCAGGAGAGCACTGCTGGTGTGTTTGGGTACACAGGCACATGTGTTTGCCCTGGCATTGCCCTATTCCTAGTGGGGTCAAAATGGTCCCTGACAGCTGCCACTGCCACGCCAATGGGAGACAAAGCTGGAATGCTTCTCTGCCCCCTTGCAAGAGCTCATTAATCAGTTGTTAATGAAGCTGTTCCCTGCAGCAGTGTTGGGAGGGGGCTGGGCCGTTGCTGAGCAGGAGGCGTGTGGCCGGTGGCAGTTGCCAGTGCCGCGGCGACAGTTGCACGGTGGAACCGTGCGCTCACAACGCTGCGACACCTCCGGGGGCAGCAGGGCCTCGGCATCTGTCCTAAGGGATCTGGGAATGGTGGGCCAAGGGATGGAGGCCCCCGGCAGCGCGCGGGGCCCCAAGGCCGACCTGAGCCAGCGCAGCCAGGAGATGCGTGTCCTCGTGGGCCTGCAAGGTGCTGCCTCGGGCTGCTCGGGGACAGGGGCGGCACAGCCCCCTTGTCCCACGCGCTGCCATTGGCTGCCTGATGTCCCCCAGAGCAAGGCGCGAAGATTTTCGCTCAGTCCTGCGAGGAAAAGCTCCGGCAGAACAGGGAGCTGCTCCCCAGCCTGCAGGCGGCTTTGCAGGAGGACTCCAATATCCTGAAATTTGTCCTGAAGGTACCAGCAAGTCCCTCCTGCTGTACCCCTGCCTGGTGCAGACCCTGCACCCCCAGCTCCTCCAGGAGCCGGCAGCACAGGCCAGCAAAAGATGTGTCATTCCCAGGCTGACAGTGACCATCTTTGTCCCTCCCTGCTCACAGTACAACAAACTCCCCATTAAGGATGCCTTCGGAGAGGGCCAGGAGCTCGTTTCAGGCACTGAGAGCCTGGAGGTAACAGCAGGGCTGGGAGCAGGGGCTGGGGCTCTGGGGACACTGAGAAGAGAAGTGCATGGCAGAGGGACATGCTGCCAGCACCAGGACAACCCCACGGGGCTGCTGTGGAGACACCGGGTGTTCACATCTGGTCCCACGGGACACATCCATGCAGCCCCTTTGTCCCTGCTGTCCCACCCCCGTGTCCCTGGCACTGCCTGTGTTCCTACAGGGTGCAGTCGCATCCCCAGCAGTGATGCTGTCCCTGCCCTTCACTGCCTGTCCCAAGGTTGTGCCCTGGTTACAAACCCGTGGAGATCGAGGCTGTGCCTACAGAGCTGCCTTTGCCCAGAGGCCTTGTGCAGCAACAGAGCGGTGCCGCTGCTCTCTGACAGCATCCCATCTGGGCCCTGATCGATTTTATTGATCCTCAGCCCTGCTCCATATCATGCAGAGTCCCTAAGCCCATCCTTGCCACCAGCAGTTGCCCACCTCTGCCTTACCCCAGCCAGCCCCCAGAGCAAAGTTCTCCCAGACCCCATCCTGTCAAACCAATGACAACATCCTGGAGCAGCATATCACTGTCCCCAACTCTACCTTGGGGGAGTTTTCTGGGCAGCATCCCCTTCAGCAGCATCCAGCCTAGAAAATGGTCTCATGCCCATCCAGGTGGTCATAAAGAAGATCGAGGCCAAAATCCATGACCAGGTGAAGGTGTGTGACATGCTGGCGCACCAGCTGAAGCAGTGGAGCCAAGCCAGGGACGAGCGCCAGAGGCACCTGCAGAATCTGCAGGATGCTGAGACAGAGCCTAAGTGGCAAGAGCCAGAGCTGCAGGTACCTGGGAGCCCTTCCTGGTGTGCCAGCACCCATGGAGGATTTAATCCAGCCCCTGCACCCCTGGCTGGGCACTGGGCTGGGCACTGGGCTTGGGACACGCAGTCACGCTGTGCCTTCTCCTGGTGTCTGCCCCAGACCATTCGCCAGCTGGGCAATGACATTGAGAAGATGCTCATGAAAATTCACAGTGGAGAGATTGTTACCAACCTGTACCTGAGGCTGCAGGAGGTCCTGAGGAGGGTGAGCTCCTCCTCACTGTGCCAGTGTTTCACCTGCTCTCCCTGCAAAGGCACGGGGTGCCCAAGGGGCTGTGTCCCAGGGGACACCCTGCTGGTGCCCTCCATGCCCTGTCACAGCACAGGGGACCCTGGTGGGTGACGTGCTCTGGCTCCCTGTGTGCCAGGAGCTGGTGTACCTGCCTCGATACATGGACCTCCTGTCTGGGATGACTGTGATGTACCACGAGGAGCTCACAGGCCGGACTACCCTCCAAGCCAACAATGTCATCAAGGTGAGAACTGGGGTCCTTTCCTACCCTCCAGTGCCCACAGACAGCACCACATACCTGAGAGCCTTCCTTCAGCAAGGGGCAAAAGAGGTGGAGCTGAGGTTGCCCACAGCACCAGAGGCCTCCATAGGTTCTGCCAGGTCTCCTTCTTGTCCCCTGGGGCTGGGGTCAGCCTGTCTGAAGCACCAGCCATGGCAATGGCAGTGTGTCCCACACCCCAGCCTGCCTTGCCAAGCTTCCTTCACAGCCTGTTTGCATGGACTGGGGTCACTTTTGACACTGGGCATCCCAGGAGCTCATCCAGTAGCTCAAATCACAGATTCATGGAATGGTTTGGGTTAGCAGGGGCCCTAAAACTCATCTCATTCCAGCCCCCTGCTATGGGCAGGGACACCTTCCACTCTCCCAGGTTGCTCCAACCCTGTCCAATCTGACCTTGGGCACTGCCAGGGATCCAGGGGCAGCCACAGCTGCTCTGGGCACCCTGTGCCAGGGTGTCACCACCCTAACAGGGAAGAATTTCTTCACACATCTCAATCTAAACCAATACTTGAACCTAATAACCAATCTGTAGAAAGCTCCAACTATCTTTGGCAGCAACTCTTCCCTTCTCTATTATGCTCCAGAAACTCATGGCCGAGGCGGGACCCCGGGTCCGTATGGAGAAGCAGCTCAGGGACCAGTCCCTGGCTGAGCAGAGGAAGCACATCGAGAGCCTCCGGCGCCAGGAGGAGAGCGAGAGGCAGCAGAGGCAGGTGAGCTGGGGTGTGGGCAGGTGAGCTGGGGTGTGGGCAGGTGAGCTGGGGATGTGGGGAGGTGAGCTGGGGATGTGGGGAGGTGAGCTGGGGTGTGGGGAGGTGAGCTGGGGTGTGGGCAGGTGAGCTGGGGTGTGGGCAGGTGAGCTGGGTGTGGGGAGGTGAGTTGAGGATGTGGGGAGGTGAGCTGGGGATGTGGGCAGGTGAGCTGGGGATGTGGGCAGGTGAGCTGGGTGTGGGGCAGGCAGGGTTCGGGTGTGGGGCAGGCAGGGCTGGGGGCAGGGGCAGCCTGCAGTGCTGAGCCCCCAGGGGTGACAGTGACTGTCCTTGCAGCAAGCTGTGTCCATGCTCTCTGCAGAGCAGGACCAGAGCTCCTCAGAAACGCTGATGGGTGAGTGCCTGGCAGGGGCAGGGTGGGGGGATGTGGGCACAGCCATGGACATCCTGCCCTGCTCCATCCCTGGACATCCTGCCCTGCTCCTTCCCTGGACATCCTGCCCTGCTCCTTCCCTGGACATCCTGCCCCTTCCCTGCCACCCCAGGTGCTGACGTGGAGGCCGCCATGGCCAAGATGCAGCGCGAGGCCTTTGTGACAGACAAGATGGAGAAGGCAAAGACTGCCCTGCAGTGCTCCTGCCTCTGGGTAATGGAAAACCCATCCCTGCTAAAACCTGGGGTTGCTGGAGCGCTGGGGAGCTGCAGCCTCTCTGCTCCCCTCGTTTCCCTGTGCAGTTATCTGCTCTTCTCTCCCTGGGGCCCCACAAAGCCCCTGTTTGCAGGCAGGCACTGCCCTTCCCCATGAACAGAAACCACAGAGCTCCATGGTTCTGTAACCCCCCCGAGGCCCTGCTTCCAGCAGGAGCACCTTGGGCTGAGTCCTTGTGTCTCCCCTGGCCAGGACATCCCCAGCAGCATCGAGGCACAGAGGAAATCCCTGGGGAACCTGCAGCAGCACATCGATGAGTGCAACGAGAGGAAGAACATGCTGAAGAAGACCCTGCAGAACCTGGAGTCCAAGCAGGCTAAACTGAAGTTTAACCAGCCCGTCAGCACCACCAGGTGCTGCTGGCCTCACACACTTGTGCCAGCCAGGCCACCAGCTTAGGGGGGGTCATGTCCAAACAGGCACCCTGACCTCCACCCCACTGTAGCCACGCACTCCTCCCGCACTGGGAGGGTTTCTGAGCTCCCAGCTCTGCTGCTGGCAGAGCAGAGCACCCAAAGCTCCCACTGGGGTCCAGGAGCTCCTTTTCTCCTTGCTTGGCCTGGGAAGTGCTGCCAACAGCATGGAGCTAGCCTGCAGTTGGGGGTGGGGCAACCTGAACTGCTTTTGGAGCAGCTTTGGGGTGTCCCTGCACCCCTGTGCAGCTGTGTGATGTGAGTGTGGCTGGCTCCAGCATGCAGGAGGAGCAGCTGAGGGAGAACCTGAAGCAGGAAGAGGCCCGGCTGGAGCAGATGCGAGCCCACATGCTGAACAACCAGAAGCGCCTGATCGAGTTTGAGAACATCGTTGACAACATGTTCCTCCGCCTGCAGGGCATCTCCATCCCTGGCAAGGTACCACGGGGCTCCAGGGGAGCAGGGCCATGCAGGTAGGGCAGCACGGGGACACCTGGCATGGCCACCACTGCTACCCCTGCTCGAGATGGTTGTGTCTCCCCCAGGAGGACTCAGGTGCAGTGGTGGGGCTGGAGGAGAAGCTGCAGCACTGTGAGCAGAAGCTGCAGTTCCTGAAGGAGCAGGCGGCAGCCCGGCCTCAGGACAGCACTGATGAACAGAGCGAGGTACGGGGGCCCTCGGTGACCCTGGGGACACACTCAGGGCCCTCACAGACCAAGGCCACCCAAGCCATCCTTCCTCAGCAAGGCCACAGGGAAGGGCCATGGAGCAGCTCAGCCCCGCATGGCACTGGGCACTCATGGTGCTTGGGGTGTAACACCCACCTGCCCTCCAGCACTTAACCCAGGCTGTCTTTCACAGACTTTTGCCAAGGTCAGGAACCTTCTGGAGGAAAGAACTGCAGGTGAAAAACAGAACCTGAGGATTTCCTTTGAGGATGAAGATGCTACAGAAGATGGTAGGAGGGCACAGTGGGGACATGTCCTACAGAGACTGTTCCAGCCCTGCCCCCTGGGAGCGGGGAGTCCTTGTCTGTCTCCCACTGGCCCAGCAGACACCAACCCACAAATTGCCTCCAGGTCTTGAGGCTGATCTTGGCTGTTTCCAAGGCTTCAGATGTGGGTGGTGTTTTTAGGCAGGGGTGGGGGAGAATGAAGGCAGGTGGTGGCATGATGAGCACCAAGCTACTGCAGGAACAAGGAGAGATGTGGGGCAAGAGGGAACACCCTCATCTCCAAAATCACCTGGTTGTGAAGAATAATCAGTGCTTGGTTCTGCCTGTGGATGCTCCTGGAAGAGGCAAAGAGCTTTTGGCAGCTCACCACCTTTAGCAAAGCAGGAGCTGTGCCCACCACACTGCAGCTCCAGACCTTTATGGGAAGCCCCAGCAGCATTGGAGATGGGTCACAGTGATGCCATCACCAGGTCCCACAGGTCACCCTGGGATGCTGGGTGGAAAGGTCCACGAGGACTCTCCTGGATCCCACGAGCCCAACAAAACGTGCCAGCTCTCCCAGGGACATGGCCACAGCAGAGGTGGCCTCCAGACCCTCCCCAGCCCCTCCTCTCCACTCTCCCCTGCAGACACCTTGGATTTTGAGGATGAAGACCATGACTACATCCCCAGCCGGGAGGACATCAAGAAGCAGGGGCAGCAGCTGATCCGCATGAACACCAGACGTCGCAAGAAGAAGTAGTGGTTTCTCCATGTGAGCTCTGAATGCCTCAGGCCACCCCTTGTACTCTTTTCTCAGCAGGAGCACCTTGGGCTGAGTTTTCTCAGTCTGCTTTTCCCAGCAGATTTAATAAACCAGATCTTCTTCATTCCAGTTCCATGGTAAGGCTGGAACAGGTGGTCCTAGGTCACTTCTGTCACTCACAACACGTTGGGGTCCATCCTGAGGGGTTCTGAGCTGGGTTTGGAGGTAGGGATGGGCTGGCTTAGGGACAGGCTCAGCCCCTGGAGCAAAGCTGGGGCTGGCCTGGCTTTCTCCCCCTTGGTGCTGTGGGGCCAACACCTTCCTGGGACCTCTGATGCCTCAGGGGCTGGAGCCTGTCTGAGCCAGTGATAAGGAAATGTGGGGAATGGCTGAGTCCTGTGGGGTCCCAGGGTGGGAGTCCTCATGTCCGTGCGTGGGAGCTGAAGGGCAGAGCCTACCCAGGAAGGAGAGACTCAAAGCTGAGCTGAATCCCCAGCCTGGAGCCTCTCCCCTCCCTGCTCCTGCACTTGTGTCCTGAACTCCTGCCCTGACCCTGGAGCGAACCCCAGGTGTCACCAGGACTGCAGGAGGGTCTGGGGGTCAGGAATGTCCCAGTTTGGCCCAGGACAGCCGAGGCTGCTGCTCCAGGGTGGGATTCCCAGTCCTGCTGAGGGGCACCCACCATGCCCCCTCTCTTCTCGTGCTGCAAATAGATGGTGCTGTTTCTCCAAGAAGAGCCAGAACCGAGGGGCTCTGCCTGTGCTCCTGGACAGACAGCCAGGACAGGGGCACCTTGTCCCCTTCCACACGGGAATGTCAGCGTCGGAGCAGCCTTTCCCTGCCTGTTCTGCTCTGTGCTTGGTGCTGGCATCATCAATGACATCCCCAGAGAGGAGAGGAGCGGCTGCTGCTCCCCAGCCTCTCAGCACTGTTCCTGGTGGGTCTCGTGGAATGGGCATTATCTTCACAAAACACAGCACAACCTGAGGTTTTTCAGGGAAGCTCCAGAAATAACATCACGTGTCAGTAAAGGCATCTCATGGAGCTTCCCAGAATCCACAGCCACAGGTGGGCTCTTCTGCAAGTGAAGACCAGGCTGTGATTGCATATCCATCTGTTCATGTCGTGTTCTCGTGTGCCCACCACAGCCTCACCACCCTCACAGGGAAGAGTTTCTTCCCAATATCCCATCCAGCCCTGCCCTCTGGCAGTGGGAGCCATTCCCTGGCTCCTGTCCCTCCACCCCTTGTCCCCAGTCCCCCTCCAGCTCTCCTGGAGCCCCTTCAGGCCCTGCAAGGGGCTCTGAGCTCTCCCTGGAGCCTTCTCCTCTCCAGGTGAGCACCCCCAGCTCTCCAGCCTAAGAAATGTGCCAAGCTCTTGGTCTGGTCATTCCACACCAGCTGTGGGGAGCAGGGAAGTGGGAAAAGGTATGGAAGAGCTGGAGCTGGCTGGAGTCTCCAGCCTGTGTCCCATTCAGGGGTGGTTTAGCTGCCTTTACAGAAGGGGCAGAGCAGCAGCAATGGGGTTTCACTTCTCTGAGCTCCTCCTGCCCTGAGCAGGGGATCCAAGGACTACCTGCTCCATCAGGAGCATCCACTGGATGTGTTCAGACACCAGATCCCAATCCCTTGTCACAGCTGCCAGAGGAGGGAAGGGCTCCCACCCCCAGCCCAGCAGCTCCTGTGCATGCAGGAGCTGGGAGCAATTGGGGTGACTGCTCCTGGCTCCCCTGGGAATGGGAGCAATCAGAATGACTGCTCCTGGCTCCCCTGGATCCGGGAGAGATGGGAATGGGAGCAATCAGAATGACTGCTCCTGGCTCCCCTGGATCCAGGAGAGATGGGAATGGGAGCAATCAGAATGACTGCTCCTCGCTCCCCTGGATCCAGGAGAGATGGGAATGGGAGCAATCAGAATGACTGCTCCTGGCTCCCCTGGATCCGGGAGAGATGGGAATGGGAGCAATCAGAATGACTGCTCCTGGCTCCCCTGGATCCGGGAGAGATGGGAATGGGAGCAATCAGAATGACTGCTCCTGGCTCTGCTCCTGCCTCCCCTGGGTCCAGAAGAGACAGAGCCCAGTGCAATTGGAATTGACTGCTCCTGGCTCCCCTGGATCCGGGAGAGACAGAGCCCAATGTAATTGGAATGACTGCTCCTGACTCCCCTGGATCCAGGAGAGGTGGCACCAGGAATGGATGTGACAAGTGGAGAAGAGGTGCTAGAGAGGGGGGAAAGAGCCGGAGGCAGTGCCTTGGTTTCTGGATTTGAAAAGATGGGGAAAGGTAGGGCTGCAGGGGCTCTTCCATAGGGGAAAATATAATTAATTATATAAGGAACAAATGAATAAGTAGGGAAGGGAGGGGGAAAAGGGAAATGGAAAGGAAGGAGAAAGGGAAACAACAGGACTGATGTCACCTGAGGTCTCATTAGGTGTCAGGCATGGGTGGTACAGCCCAGGGAAAGAGATGAGAGATTTCCTTCTCTGCCCTAAGAAACCTTTATTCCCTTCCTCTGAGCTCGGCTGGAGCTCCAGCATGGATGCTGCAACCAGTGCCAGGACTGGTGAGAAACCAAAAATAGGACATTGGGGAATTGCATGGAAGCATTTGCCATGTGGAAATATCAATCTCTGCCTTGGGAAGGCTGGGTTTGAGTGGGTTTGGGGCTTTTTATTTTTAAAGGTGTGATGAAAATCACATGGAATGGAGTGCAAGGAAGGGTGGGCACAGCTGGGGATGTCACTGGAGCATCAGTGCTGGGTTTTATCCTCTGGGAAAACAGGAACCAGATAAATCAGCCGGACTGGGACCAAAAGCAGAGGCTCTGTTGGCTGTTCTGGGGAGGAAGAGGCAGCCAGGGGATCCTTCTTGGAGCTGCAATGGTGGGATGTGGGAGGTTTGTGTATCCCAGCCTATGGGGTGAGAGCTGCTTCCAGCCAAGCAAGCACAAACATTTTCCATTCCCATGTTGATAAGAGGGTTCATGGGGGGGGATGGGGGAGGTTTGGTCTGGTGAAGAGCAGGAATTGGCATCACAGCCACACCGGGGCTCTGGACCCTGGGCCAAGCAAGGTGGGACTGAAGCAGTGCTGGTGAAGGAGGGAAGGACCCCAGGGAGGTGGGGTCCCTGCTCTGACCCTCAGCAAGGGGAGAAGTGGCTGGCAGCAGAGCAAGGGGTGGGGCTGGCAGGTCCCGTGAAGCAGCTTTCCTCCACAGCAGAGACCAGGGACCACCTCAGACCATTTTGGTGGCCTCCTTTGGGCCTGCTCTACCAGCTCCATGTCTGTGCTGGGATGAGCTGGAGGCAGCTCCACAGAGGTCTCGGTGAGCAGAGCAGAGGGGGAGCATCCCCTCCCTCCCCTGCTGCCCACCACAATGGAAGGAGCCCAGGACACACTTGGCCTCCTGGGCTGCCAGTGCCCATGGCCAGGTCATGTCCCGTTTGTCACCCACCAGAACCCTCAGTTCTCATCCATCCATCCATCTATCCATCCATCCATCCATCCATCCATCCATCCATCCATCCATCCATCCATCCATCCATCCATCCATCCCTCCCCAGTCTGTGTGGCCCTGGGGATGGCCCTGTCCCAGCTCCCTGACCCTGCGCTCAGCTGGGCTGGATCAGCCCAAGGGCTCTGTGGGGAGGAGTGGGAGGGGATGCAGGGGCAGGGGTGTGATGTTGGGATATTGGGGTGCAGGGTGGGATAATGGGATGCAGGTGGATGATGCCCTCTGGGTGGCAGCTGGAGATGCAGCCCATCCATCCCTGTGTTGCTCTGCCCACTCCTCCTGCTCCTCCACCCCAGCAGGTCCTAGGGGACCCAAACTGGGGTGACTGGGCACAGGTACCGGTGGTGTCTCCTGGCAGGGCTCCCCCACTGGTGGGGGGACACAAGGGTGCCCAGAGGCAGCACGTGGAGGGCAATTCCATCCCTGGTCAGGCTCTGCCCTCCCCACTCCCATCCCAGCCCCACAGCAGCAGCACGCTGCACCCCAAGGCACATAAGAGGGAGAGACCCCTCCTTGTGCCCCCTCATCCCAGAGCTGGATCCCAAGGGGTTCTCCCACCACACCCCAAGCTGGGTGTCCCTGTGAGTGCAGCACAAACCCCCCCAGTGTCCACTTTGAGCCTTTTGTAAGGGAACAGGAATTGGGAACAAGAGGCCACAGGGTGGGCCCCCACCAGCCTCAGAACATGGGATGGCCAGGGATGTGAGGTGCCCAGGGATGGGGGATGGCCAGGAATGGGCAATTCCCAGGGCCACAGGGTGCCCCCATTCGGTGGAAGCCACAAGGGGTTGCAGACAAGCCAGGTCAGCCGTATTTATTGAGAACGGTTGTGGAGGGATAAAAATATTTCCACTACTCTATAAGAATTTATAAACCTATACTCTCTGATCCATTAATAAACGCCTCTAGGACCATCATGCCAGGGGAGGGGCTTCTGTAAGAAAATAGCGAGATTAAAAAAAGGAAAGCACTAAATATTCCCTGCAGGGCCCTGCCCGGGGGGGCCCTGCCCACGGGGACCACGGGACCCCCGCTGGCACAGGGACACGGGGGGCACAGGCCGGGGCTGCCCTGGCACCCTGCAGCCCCAACCCCTGAGCCCCGGCCGGGCACAGCCCCCGCCAGCCACGCCCCACCCGGGGACCCGGCAAGGGGGCCCTGATGGGGACAGGACACATCCCCAGGGCAGCGAGCTCTGCTGATCCCACTGATCCACTGCTGCCACTGATCCCACTGATCCACTGCTGCCACTGCTGCCACTGCTGCCACTGATCCACTGCTGCCACTGATCCCACTGATCCACTGCTGCCATTGCTGCCACTGATCCACTGCTGCCACTGCTGCCACTGATCCCACTGATCCACTGCTGCCACTGCTGCCACTGATCCCACTGATCCACTGCTGCCACTGATCCACTGCTGCCACTGATCCCACTGCTCCCACTGATCCACTGCTGCCCCTGCTGCCACTGATCCATTGCTGCCACTGATCCCACTGATCCACTGCTGCCACTGATCCCACTGCTCCACTGATCCCACTGATCCCATTGCTCCCACTGCTCCACTGATCCCACTGATCCCATTGCTCCCACTGCTCCACTGCTCCCACTGATCCCACTGATCCCACTGCTCCACTGATCCCACTGATCCCATTGCTCCCACTGCTCCACTGATCCACTGATCCCACTGATCCCATTGCTCCCACTGATCCCACTGCTCCACTGCTGCCACTGATCCCACTGCTCCCACTGCTCCCACTGATCCCACTGCTCCACTGATCCCACTGATCCCATTGCTCCCACTGCTCCCACTGATCCCATTGCTCTCACAGCTCCCACTGATCCCACTGATCCCACTGCTCCACTGCTGCCACTGATCCCACTGCTCCACTGATCCCACTGATCCCACTGCTCCACTGATCCCACTGCTCCCAGTCCTGCTGCATCCTCCCCATCCCCTGCAGGCTCTCCCAGACCTCAGAGGGGTTTGGATCCATCTCCCCGGGGATGCTGGAGGGGCGGCCAGGGCTCACCCTGGGGACACACAGTGGGGCTTTGCAGGAAGCAACACAGCTGGGGACATCCTTGGGGACACTACACAGAGACAGGGACACTACACAGAGCCCTGCGGGTGGTGACATGGCTGGACACATCCCAGGGGGACACAGAGATGCAACATAGCTCTGTGGGAAAGCAACACAGGTGGGGACAGTCTGGGGAGGGGGGAACAAGCTGCAGTGCTCTGTAGGGTAGCAACACCAACTGGGACATGGTGGGGGACATGGGGACACCATGGGGGGACATGGGGACACACAGCAGCACTTTGCTGGGAAGCAGCACAGATGGGGATATCCTTAGAGAATACACAGGGCTGCTGTGCCAAGAAGCAGCAGGGACAGGGACATCCTGGGCACACAGGACACCACAGACAAGCAAGTGGCAGCAGGGGCTGAAATTCCAACCAGGGCCAGTGCTGTTGCCATGGGGTAAGAGGTGCCAGGGGCACAGGACACTCATTATTGCTTTACAGGGCCAACATCACGGTGGGCTGGGGGTGCCCAGCCTCTGATTTGGGGTCCAAGGGATTTTCCCTGGGGATATTGATTCCCCAGTGCTCCTTGTGCCACAGCCCTGCTGTCACTCAGTGGGGACAGGGTGAGGACACAGGGCTGGACACAGTTCGCCTGCACTGGTGCTGGCATGGAGCAGGATGGTGGCTGTCCCTTGGCTGTCCCTCCATCCCCTCTGTCCCCTGTGGTCCCCAGGAGCTGCTGTCCCTTCACGCCAGCCAAGGCCAGGGGAACAGCCCTGTCCCCCTCAGCAGCTGGGGCCTTTGGAGGGGCTGGCACCAGTACCCCCCTTTCCTCTTCCCTTAAGCCAGGGCCAAGCTGAGCATAAAGGCTGTAAGCAGGGAGGCCAGGGTGACACGGGGACAAGGGACACGCTGTGGGGACCAGGCTGGCCAGGGCCCTCCCCAGAGCTGTGGAGAAACGGGAAACCAAAGCCTGGGGGACCAAGCTGTCCCCAGTGATTAGGGGGGAGCAGGGCAGGGGACGCCGGGTTGGGTGCCCTGTCCCTCCCTGTCCCCGGCATCCCCTCACTGTCCCCGGGTGTCCCCGCGGGCGCTGGGGGTTGGATAAGGCGATGCCGCAGCTTAAGGTGGTGGGTGGGTGTTGGTACCGAGTCTGGCAGCGGGGCCGGGCGGGAGGAGCGTGATGTAAACATTTCTGATGGGGCCAGGAGGAGGACGAGGAGGAGGAGGAGGAGGAGGGACGAGCTAGTGCGAGTCCTTCATCTGCTTCTGGATCTTCTGGAGCATCTCCTGCATCCGCCGCAGCTGGAAGGGAGCAGAGCCGGGATCGTGGATGGTGCCCAGCCCCAGGCACGCTGCTCCCGTGCAAATGGGGCTCGGGCTGAGCATCCCAGACAAACTGGGATCGCCCAGCTAGGGAGGGGGTGGGGGGAACCCTTGGGTGCACCTCCAGACCCTGCTCGCTGGGGATGCTGCAGGAAGCGTGGCTCCTGATGGCTGTGCCATGGCCGAGCAGGAGGCAGTGGGGACGGGGCTGTGGGCGCTCAGCCCCACACTCACCTCCTCGTCCTTCTCCCGGATGAGCTTCTCGGTCTCCACATCCGGCACCGGGGGGATCACGGGGATGGGGAAGTCTGTCCCGCTCTCCCGGGTCAGCTTGCTGTGGGCAGAGAGAGGAGGTGGGGGTGCTGCCCCAGCTCCCCAGGGACAGTCCCCCGGAGATACCCCAACCCCTGCAGGGCCCCAGCAGCCCCTGCACAGCCCCTGGGCCCCATGGCCACCCTCAGAGTGGTGGAGGGAGGTCCAGGAAGCCCCCAAACCTCAGCACCCCCAACCTGCCATGCACCAACCAAGGGGGACCCAGGGACTTCCTCCACACCCTCCCATTTTGGGGAGAATCCCACTGGGGTCAGGCTCTCCTGGGGCAGTATTTTCCCTGCCGCTTTAAAACATCAAAACCTCCGCATCCCCCCTCTGTGCCCTGGCCTCAGGATGGGCTCTCCAGACACTCCATTGCCCTGCCAGTCCCGGGGATGCCCCACACCCTTTTCCCGAGCCTCTGCCCCCATTCGAGCCCATTCCTGCCGGAGAGAGCCGCGAGCATCCCCCTGAGGCCGCGCGGGAGCCGGGCTAGCCCAGCCTGGCTTCTCCCATGGCCCCGGGAGGGACCAGCCCTCCCACCCGAGCCTGGGGATGCCACCCCAGCGGTGACAACCGGGACACCAACAGCGGCTGGCAGGGTCACGCGTGCTGCCACGTGCCATCGCCACAGCCACGGCTAGCGCGGCCCCTGGGGCAAAGGGGTGATGGACACGGCTGGGACACGGCTGGGACACGGCTGGGACGGGCCATCCCTGAGCCGGCAGGACGGGCCATCCCTGTCTGGAGCAGGACGGGCCATCCCTGTCTGGAGCAGGACGGGCCATCCCTGTCCCGGCAGGACGGACCATCCCTGTCCCGGCAGGACGGGCCATCCCTGTCCCGGCAGGACAGGCCATCCCTGTCCCGGCAGGACGGGCCATCCCTGTCTGGAGCAGGACAGGCCATCCCTGTCCCGGCAGGACGGACCATCCCTGTCCCGGCAGGACGGGCCATCCCTGTCCCGGCAGGACGGGCCATCCCTGTCTGGAGCAGGACAGGCCATCCCTGTCTCGGCAGGACGGGCCATCCCTGTCCCAGCAGGACGGGCCATCCCTGTCTGGAGCAGGACAGGCCAGGCCGTCCCTGTCCCGGCAGGACGGACCATCCCTGTCCCGGCAGGACGGACCATCCCTGTCTGGAGCAGGACGGGCCATCCCTGAGCCGGCAGGACGGGCCATCCCTGTCCCGGCAGGACGGGCCATCCCTGTCTGGACGGACCATCCCTGTCTGGAGCAGGACGGGCCATCCCTGAGCCGGCAGGACTGGCCATCCCTGTCCCAGCAGGACGGGCCATCCCTGTCTGGAGCAGGACAGGCCATCCCTGTCCCGGCAGGACGGGCCATCCCTGTCCCGGCAGGACGGGCCATCCCTGTCTGGAGCAGGACGGGCCATCCCTGCCCGCGGGGTCCCGCTGTGCCGGGGGCTGGGCCAGCGCCAGGGCCGGGCTTTGGCCGCCTCGGGAGCCGCTTTGGAAGGCGCTGCCGCTGTCTCGGCTTTGGCCCTGGGGACGTGGGGAGCACCTGAAGCTCCTGCCAGCCCTGGCAGCGACACAAAGCTGGAGCCGGGCCCCAGCAATGGGGTGAGCAGCAAAGGCTCTCAGCACCCCAAAATGGCGTCCCTGGGAGGACAGCACGACGGGGACACCCGTCCCTTGGGCAGCCTTGGGGGCTCAGTGCCACCTAACAGTGACACATCCCCAAACCTGGGTGAGCCGAGGTGACACCACCAGCACACAGCGTCCTTTGGTACCCCAAGGGCAGCTTGTGTGGGACACCAGTGGGTGGCCACAGGGCCATAGAGGGTGGCCACAGGGCCGGCTCGCCCCGAGGGCAGCTGCCTGGGCCTTGCTCAGGCACAGAAGGACCAAGACAGCGTTGGGTACCAACAAGCACTTTTATAGAGGGGCCAGCGGGTGGCAGGGCGAGCAGGGTGAGGCCCGGGGCGGCCAGGCCAGTTCCGGCTCAGTCGGCGGAGCAGTCCCCACAGCACAGCCTCAGCACGGAGGGATGGCTCCTGCCCCGGGGCACACAGGGAGAGACACTTAGAGGTGCTGAGAGAGGTGCCCACAGCCACTGCCAGCCCTCACAGCACGGCTCGAGTCCCCCGGGACCCACAGAGCCTCCACTCGCTCCCACACTGCTCTGACCCCTGGCTGGAGGGTCCCACTGGGGACCCTGCTGGTGGGGGCTCCCTCAGCACCTCGGGCTGGCTAAAGTCGGATGTGGGTGCTGTGAATTCTGCTGATCGGCGAGCAGAGCCCCAGCACTGGCTTGTGTTGGACTCCTGCTCTGGTGCTGGAGCCTGCAAGGATGCAGGGGCCCCCTCCCTGTTGGAGCCAGACATCCCCCCACAGTGAGCCCCAGGGGGATGCAGGATCCCCCTCGGTGCTGGACGGGCCATCCCTGCCCCAGCAGGATGGGGGAGACACACGCAGCCCAGAGGGGACACACGGTCCCCCTTGCTGCCGGAGCACACCCCTGACCCCAGCCCCAGCCCTGGGGGCACATGGTGTCCCCCTCACAGCTGGAACATGCCCCTCTAACCAGCCCCAGCTCTGGGGAGATGCAGGGTCCCCCTTGCTACCAGAGCATCCCCACAGCCACCCCGGGTGTGCCTCACTGCTGGAATATCCCAGCTAAGACAGACCCTGCCTCGGGGTCTGCAGGGCCCCTCAGTGCCGGAGCATCCCCAGGCACTCCCAGCCCAAGGGCACAGGGGGGCCCTTCACCACACCAGGGCTGCCCAGCACAGCACAGCACTGCACCGGGGCTGCCCGGCACAGCACAGCACTGCACCGGGGCTGCCCGGCACAACACAGCACAGCACCGGGGCTGCCCAGCACAGCGCAGCACTGCACCGGGGCTGCCCGGCACAGAACAGCACCGGGGCTGCCCGGCACAGCACAGCACAGCACAGCACTGGGGCTGCCCAGCACAGCACAGCACTGCACCGGGGCTGCCCGGCACGGCCCCACGCACTGCCCTGACCTGTCGACACCGCCACTCGCAGTGGGTGGGGTCACCCCAAAGAAAGGAGGCCCCCGCCCCGGCCCGGCCCAGCCCAGCCCAGCCCAGCCCAGCCCCAGCCCAGCCCAGCCCAGCCCCAGCCCGGCCCCAGCCCGGCCCCAGCCCAGCCCGGTCCAGCCCGGCCCAGCCCGGCCCCAGCCCGCCCCAGCCCAGCCCCAGCCCGGCCCGTACTTGCGGTTGCGCTCCTTGACCACCATGCGGGTCATGCTCTGGATGCACTGTGTGCGGTAGTTCTCGTAGTGCGTCTCCCGTGTCACGTCCTTCAGGTCCTGCATGTGCGTCCTCACCAGCATCGTGCGCAGCTTCACGAAGTCGCAGTGGGACGGGTTCTCCACTGCGGGGGACGTGGGGTCAGGGGCCACAGCCTGTCCCAGCTGTGTCCCTGTCCCCACAGGGGCAGCCCCGCGTTACCTTCCACGATGCCCCAGGGGTAGAGGCGCCCGCGGACGCGCCGGCCCTTGGCCTCCACCACCGTGTTGCTGCCGATGACGGCGAAGGGGATGCTCTCCTGCAAGGGCGGGGGGGGATCAGCAGGGCCCTGCCATGACCCCCACCTGCCAGGACCCGCATCCCTCCACGTGCCCTCCTCGGCTGTGTCCAGCACCCCTTTGCCAGGATATTGCAAAGGCCCGGCTGTGGAGAGCCCCAGTGAGACAGCAGAGGTCGTGGCATGTGTTTCCCCACCCAAGCCCCATCCCACCAAGCTGCAGGTGTCTCCCATGGGATCCTGGTGACATGTCTGGGTACTGAGATATGTGCCAGCCCCTCCATGCTGGAGAGCTTACGTGGCCCCAAAGAGTCCTGCAGGTACCCCAGGGTGACGTGTCTCCTGGCCATAGGGCTCTGCCCCTCCAGTGATGGAGCTGGAGGACCCAGACCCACCTTCAGTGCCTGGTCCTGCAGCTTGAACTCCTCATCCTCGTCCGAGTCGCACTCAGGGAATTGGTAGATGCGGATGCCATAGTGGTCGATCTCCTCCCGAATCTGGAGGCAAGCAGCTCCCTGAGGGCAGGGCTCCGGCCTTGGGAAGGGCGTGGGAGGCACCACACAGGGCCAACGTCCCCCAAAGCCTGGTCCCACCAGACCAGATGTCATGGACACCCCCAGTTCTTCCAACCCCCAGCTGAGCCCTGGGCAGATGTGTCCTTGGTGGCCATGGGGACAACATGGTCCTCTACAGTGCTGCAAGCCTGGAAAATGCTCTAGGGCAAATTCCAGGCAGGAGATGGATGGAGACCCCAGGGCACCCCCATGCCCGGGGACCTGCTGGGACAGCTCCCCTCACCTTGTTCTTCATGCGCTCCACCTCGGCAGGGGTCAGCGTGTCAGCCTTGGCCAGCACGGGCACGATATTCACACGCTGGTGCAGAGCTCTCATGAACTCCACGTCCAGGGGCCGGAGCCTGCGGGGGGAGCCTGGTGAGCCCCGTCCCAGCGAGCCCCTCCCCACCCCCCAGCAGTGTGGTGGGGCTGCCCCTACCCGTGGCCGAAGGGCGAGATGAAGTAGATGCAGCAGTGCACTCGGTTGTCCTGGATGTTTTTCCGGTTGAGGCCACTTTCGTCACGGAAATACTGCTCGAACTGCTGGTCGATGTAGTCGGCCACTGGCTTCCAGCTGCAGGGACAGCGAGGTGAGACCCCCCCTGCTCTCTGTGGACCCCCAGCTCAATACCTCCATGGCTCAGCACCTAAGCCCAGTGAACCATGGGCATCCCACCCACCACAGGGTGTCCGCGCTGGGGAGACCCCCACCCCATGGCACTCACTGTCCCACCCACCCTGGGGACAGTCCCCACCCCATGGCACTCACTATCCCACCCACCCTGGGGACAGTCCCCACCCCATGGCACTCACTATCCCACCCACCCTGGGGACAGTCCCCACCCGTGGCACTCACCACTCGGTGTTGTTGACGGCGTCCCCGAAGCCCGGCGTGTCCACGATGGTCAGGCGCAGCTTGACCCCCTTCTCCTCGATGTCCACCACGTGCTTGGTGATCTCCACTGTCTGCGTGATGCGCTCTGTGGGGAGGGACACACCACCAGGGGGGACACCATGGGGACATGCTGCAACCCCCAAGCGCCATACCCCACCCTGGGGGCTGGGTGACCTGGCTGGATCAGCTCTGACACACGCCATGCTCCAGCAAGGAGAGGATGCTCCATGCTGTGGTCCCCACATCCCCATGGATGGTGGGCAGCCATCCCTTGGTGGCTGTGCCACTGCCACCCCAGGAGCCCAGCTCAGGCAGCACAGGGCTCTGCTGGGGCTGGGCCTTGCTCAGGAGCATTTCAGGTGACCCCACAGCTCCAGAGTGCATGTGCCCCTTCACCCCAGGACCCTCCATGTCCCTGCATCCCCAAGGATGCTCCTGCTGCATTGTGTGTTTCGGCTTTCACTCCAAGCAACGGAAACAAATCAAACAAACCCCTCCTGGGGATTTGGGCAACTTTGGGCCATTTTAATTCAAAAACTGGCTGCAGCTGAACTGGCACTGTGCTCCAGGCTCTGACTGTCCCCAGCCTCCCAGAAATGCTGCAGCTCCAGCCAATCCCCAACAAGCCAGGGCTTGTTTTCCCCGTGGAAATAAAGTCCCCGTGGGGGGTCCCCATCCTGTGCAGGGGGTTTCTCACTGCCTCAGAGAGGTCCCCAGTGCCAGTGGGCAGCTGGCAACACAGCACATGTCATTTCAGGGGCAGGGAGAGGGGCTGCAGCCCGCAGGAGCATCCCTGGGCTCTGCCACTGCCCAGGTCACCCAGAGCACCCCTGCGGGCTGTGACTGTCCCCTGACCTTCGGCATTGAGCAGCTTGCGGTCCCTGTACATGTCCGTCAGGAAGAGGCTGTTGACCAGGGTGGACTTGCCCAGCCCGGATTCCCCTGAGAAAGAAGGACAAAGATGAGGGGGCAGCCAGGATCCCCCCTCCCCAGTGCAGGGTGTTTGGGATGCAGAGTGGGGTGAGCACCCCAGGCTGGCTGGACCCCCGTACCTGCCACCATGAGGGTGAAGTCAAAGCCCTTCTTCACCGACTTGCGATGCACCTGGTTGGGCAGCGTGGCAAAGCCCACGTACTCCTTGTCATCCTGCAGAGGGCAGAGGGGACGTGGGACAGGGACACCACCAGCACACCTCCTACCCTGGGAAGCCCCCCCCTTCCCCTGGGCCCACAAAGGGATTCCTGGGTTGGAGTTCCAGGGGATGAGGCCATGCCTGCCCAAAGCCTTTGTGTTCACAAGATGGGGACATCCTCCGTTCCGCAGCTCCTTGCCCCAGGTGTGTGTCCCTCCCTCCCCAGGGACACATCCTGCACCTCGGAGGAGTCGTAGGGGTCCAGCTGTCCCCAGGGGCTGCGCGGGCGGTTGGGGCTGGGGGGCGGGGGGGCGGCGATGTGCTGCTGGAAATCCGCGGGCCGGGAGCGGGAGAAAATCCTGGCGTCCCTCTCGTCACTGCCTTCGTCTGGGGGGACCCTGGCCCCGCTGCCCAGGGGGTGGCCGGGCTCCCGCCGGCTCTCCGGGGCCTCCACCTTCCTGGAGCTGTCAGCTGCTGGGCAATCCCGCAGGAACTGGGTCAGCTCAGCCTCGTCCGAGTCCTCCTTCAGAAAACGTTTTATCTGGGGACCAAGGGAAGAGGTGAGTGGCGGTGGCAGTGCCAGCCCGACGTGGCACCACCCAGCTCAGCCTCACATGCCCCCAAACCGCAGCAGCCAGACACATGCAGCCTAAAGGTGGCAGGGTTGGGAGGAGAGACGGGACACGGCCACCCCAGGGGACCGGCCACCACCCTGGGGACAGCCACGGGTACAGCCATGGGGATGGCAGTGGGGACAGCCGTGGTCCCGTGCACCTCGGGCGCTTACGACTTGCGGCGTGGGGACGGCAGCCAGCTCCTGGCACTCCGGGGGACAGGGGTGGGCACCTTCCCCCTGGGCACCCCGCCGCTCCTCGGGGTCTTCTGGGGCAGCCAGGACCCCCCCGCGCCCCAAGGCCTGCCAGGACGACAGGGAGGGGGCCGGGAGGAGGCAGAGACACCAAGAAGAGATGAAGAGCGATTGGGGGGTGGCCTGAGCGGGGCTGCAGCCGGGGGGAGGCAGAGAGTGGGCAGGGGTCCCCTGGTGCCCACGGCCCCCGCCCGCTGCCCGTTCACGGGGTGTCAGCACAGGAGCCCCCGTCCCCACAGTCCCGGGAGAAAGGCAGGGCAGGGGACACGGAGACATGACCAGGACCCCGACACCTCCTTGCCCTGGCTGTTCCCGTGGAGCGGAGCGCGGGCAGCGGGCGGGGGGGGACAGGCACAGCTGCCCCCGAGCTGCTGGCCGTGGGCTGGCGGGGCTGGGATGAGGGACGGGAACGCCGGGATCGGGATGGCTCCACATCCTGTTTACAAGGCTGGCGGGAGGAGACGCGTTCCCAAGGGCACGTCCGGCAGCGGCTCCCGTGGGACCAAGCCCCGCTGCCAGCAGGCACCAATGTCCCCAAGGTCCCAAGGCAACTGCCAGGCGACCCCAGCCCCAAACGAGAGGCACGCAGGGGCCGGGGGAGCCCGTGACCCTGTGGGCTCCCAGCTGGGGAGTGTCCCCCCAGAGCGGAGCCTCGAGGCGAGGTCCCTCCATGGGGACACGTGTCCTGCCCTGCGCCTTGTCCCCGCTCGCTGGCGGTGCCGGCGGCAAGGCGAGATGCGGGAATCAGCGGGCTGGAAACAAGGTCACGGCGCTGCCCGGGCCGAGCGCTCGCACGCCTGGCCCCGCTCCCGCTGCCCCCGCGGCCACAGCACGGGGAGCACGGGGCCAGGCTGGGGGACAGCAGGTGGCCCCATGGCGGGGGCTGCGGGACCCCCGTGCTCCCCTCTGCCCCAGCGGGTCCCGAGGGCTCGGCGGGTCTGTGTGACCGCAGCATCCTCTTCCTCCCCGCCCTTGGCCTGGGGGGCCTCAGTGCCAGCCCCCAGCGCGGCCCAGCCGGGGACGCTCGGGGATGGGAGGTGATGCCGCCACCAGCGGCGAGCGCTTCCAGCCCTGCTGCCGCTCCATCCCTCGGGGCTCCAGCCCTTTGGGGCTCGCCCTCGAATCCCACCCCCGGCGAAGCCGATGACTTCGGCAGTGCCGCGGCACCGAGGTTCGCGCCCCATCCTTGGAGGTCCTGCAGCAAGTGCGGCCCCCGGCAGGGCTGTCCCGGGGACGGAGGATCAGCTGTGGCACCTTCCCGCAGAGCCGGGGTAGTCCGTGCCCCCACCCCCTGTGCCCCCTCTCTCGGCCCGCCGGGGACGGGCGCTGCCCCCGTACCTCTTGCCCAGGCTGCAGCTCGGGGCAGGTGGCCATGGCTCAGCCGGCGTCGCCCTTGGCCAGCAGAAGATGCCGAGTGGCACCGGCTGCGCCGAGGGCTGGGGAGAAGCATTAGCATAACTCCACCCTGGGCAGGCTCCGCACCCAGGAGCCAGGCACGGCCCCTGCCAGGGGCACGGCAGGGGAGAGGGACCCGCGCAAAGCCAAACCCAGCTCCTGCCCGGCTGGGGAGGTTTCAAGGACCAGCCGTCATTGGCCAAGGGAGGTCCTGGGGGGGCTGCAGGAGCACCGCCAGCACCGCCAGCACCCCTGGGCTGAACGCACAGATTGCCCACAGCCCAGGAGGACACTCAGTCCTTGGAAACACCTCTGTCCCAAGACAAAAATCCGCTCTCTCCTGGGACAAAACTCCCTTCATCCCGGGATAAAAATCCTCTCCATCCAAGTGCACACCACGTCCACTCCCACTGCCCCCTGAAGCGTTCCCCAGCAGGGCTCCACAGCCTCTTTGAGGTCAGAAACCCAGTTTTCCCACACTCTTGCACCTGACACTTAAAGCTTCCCCACATGGCTTTGAGCTCTTGCTTGAGCTGGGCCTGGCTGGGAAGGACCCAGCCCCGGCCTGGGAGAAGCAGGGACGCTGCCCACCACAGGGATCTCAGGCAGAAGTTCCAGCATTCCTGCCTCGGCTTCCCCGGCTCATCCCTGGGAGGCAAAGGGTTAACAGTGCCCCAGGAGGAGCCGTGGGTGGCAGCCAGGGCTCCCCAGCTGTCACTTCGGGGTCACCAGGGATGGTGATTCACCTTGATGCGTGTCGAGATGCATCAGAGCAGCTCAGGCGCGATCCAGGGTCGCTCGGCCACTTTCCCAGCGTCCCAGCCCGCGCTCCCGGCAGGAGCAGGGATTTACGGCAGCCCGGGGCTGTGCCGGTGCCCCCGTAAGCAGATTACACACGCGGCTGAGTGCAAGCCGGCCTCACACCCGGGCTGTCAGCGGCCCCGCAGCCGCAGGAGCAGCCCCGTCCCCGCCTGTCACTCTGCATCGCACCGTCCCCGCGCGGTGACAGCCCGAGGGATGCGGCGCGGGGGGACACGGGGGCAGCGGGCAAAGCCTGACCTAGGAAAGCCACCGGCTGCCCCTGATCATCGTTCCATGGGTACCACATTCCCACGGGAGGTGTTTTCCGGGGCAAAGGAAGGGAACATCCCGGCGAGATGCTGTCCCTACCGCCAGGATGACAGAGGCGTCCCCAAGCCCTCTAAAGGTGACACCCAGAATGCCACCCGCGGCACGGCCACTGTGTCACTGCGGCTGAGTATCCCAGGCACAAACGCTGTCCCAAAGGCACGAACACCGCGCAGAAGCCCCCAGCGAAAGGCCAGCGCTGCCAGGGAGACAGGACCGGGGCTGTGCCTGGCCGCGCCTCTGGGTGCACGGGATGCTCCCCCTGCAGAGCCAGGGTACCCCCAGCTCTGCCATCCCACCCCTCAGCAGCATTCCAGATGGGAAACTGAGTCTCCCGGCAGCTCCAAGAGGAGCAGGGTGCCAGGCACCCCGAGGATGGGGGGCAGGCTGTGGTGTGGGTCCCTGCTCTGGGCAGGAGGTCAGCACCAGGTGGGTGAGCACAGGGGATGAGAGCCACAGCCCTTGGTGCAGCAGCTCCAGTCCCTCTCCCGCAGGAATCCTACAGTTTGAAGGGCCTGTGAGCACCTGAGTGGGGACCCCAGGATGGGACCATGGCTCCCTGTGAGCCAGGACATGACAGTGAGGCCTGTCCAGGCTGGAAACGCAGTGACATCTCAGCACGTGGGGCTGGGCACTCAGGGATCTGACCCGCTCAGAGCCAGGAGTAGAGAGCGGGGCGGGGGGGGGACACCAGTGCTCATGCTGCTCCTCCGGGCCAGCTGGGAACTGCTTTGGGGACAGAGGGATGTGGCACTGGTGGCAGGGCACCGGCTCTGCCTCTGTGGGTCCTTCTGGAGCACCTCCAGCCCCAGCTCACCCCACGTGCACGGGCGAGGGAGCCCAGCTGGCCCCGGTCCCCAGCTGTGACTCTGTCCCCCCCCGATGTTTCCGAGGCTGATATGTGCATCCCACAGCCACAGTCTGGAGCCTGTCGGGAAGGCGCTCCGTTGCGACACGCTCCGCCAGCCGCCCTCCTCTCTGCTTTCGCTGCATCCAGCTCCGGAGGAATGTGCCGGGCTGGTTCCCACGGCGCTGCCGGGGCAGCGCGGCCGCGGCGCACCCCACCAGGGCCACTTGTCCCGGCGGCCACGAGCCGGTGCCACGCGAGCCACGGCCGCAGCCCTCGGTCCTCACCCCCACCCTGGACACGGCCCGAGGTCCCCGCGGAGACGTGGCCCGGCCGGGCGGCTCCTGGGGACCTGCCATGACCGCGGAGGAGTGAGGCAGAGCGGGAGATGCAGAACAAGCTCCCGCGGGCTGGGAATGCCAGCGGCGGCTCCGGACCCTGCCGGTGAGTACAGAGCCGGCTCCGTGCGTGTGACGGTCCCGGCCGAGGGCCCGGCCGGGCTGGCAGTGCCACCAGCGCCCCAGCCTGGGGACCTGCCAAGAGCTGGGAACCGATGCTCGGCACGGAGCCGCACCAGAGCGGCTCCCGCTGCCCACGCACGGACACCCGTGGGAGGAGCGCGGGACGGGGGACACGCAGGTGACGCTCCCGAGCGCTGCCCTCCCGGATGCCCCGGTGAGGGCCCGTGGTCCCCTCGCCTCCCCCGGGGCTGCGCCCTCCGGGGCCGGGCAGGTGCTGCCCCGCCGCCCGTGTCCCCCCCGCGCTCCGCTGCGGCACCGGCGGCCCCGGTCCGCTCCGCCCCCGCGCACCGTCACCTTCACGGAGGGCAGCGGGCTGCGGGAGCGGGCCCGGGCTGCGGGAGCGGGCCCGTGCCACGGTGCGGGGCGGTGCGGGGCAGCCCGGGCCGGGCCGGTCCCACGTCCGCCCCGGCCTTACCATGGCTGCGGCGCCGGGCGCCGTCCGGGAGCGGCGGCTGCCGATGGGCACGGCCGGGCCCCGCCGCGGATTAGCAGAAATAGCAGCGGCGGGGGCGGGGGCGGCCCCGGGGCGGGGCGGGCGGGGGGGCGGGCGGGGCGGCCGCTCGGCATCACCGGCAGCGGCACCGGGCACCGGCAGCGGCACCGGCAACAGCAACAGCGCCCGGCACCGCGCACTGCACACGGGTACAGGCAGCGGCACCAGCGCTCGGCGCCGGCACCGGGACCGAGCGATGTGCACCGGGCACCGCACACTGGGCACTGGCACCACGCACTGGGTACCAGCACCGGGCACTGGGCATCAGCATCCAGCCTTGGCATTCGACTCTGGCATCAATACCTGGCACTGGCGCCGGGCACTCACTTTGGCACCGGGGCCGGGCACCGGGAACGAGCTCTGGCAGCGTTCACTGGGCACCGGGAGCTGCACAGGGCACGGGGTGGTGGCACAGGGCAGCAGCACCGAGCACAGGGCTCCAGCACCAGGAACAAGACACTGCAGCAGGGACAGGGCACCAGTACCAGGGACAGGGCACAGCACCAGGTGCAGGGTGCTGGGCATTGGCAGGGCCCGGTGCAGGCAGTGGGTACAAGGCCCCAGCCCCAGTTAGTGGTGCAGTGAGAGGGAATGGCCCCCATGACAGTGAGTGACCTCCTGGCAGTGTCACCAGCACCAGGCATTGCCCTGCAGGTACCAGGTACTGTGTAGGAGGCACTGAGCTCCACACCAGCCACTGGCTCGTGGGAGCATTGGGCACCAGTTAGGGGGTGTTGGGTACTGGGAAAACACTCCAGCCCACACATCCCACAGCACCTGCTGGCTACCAGGGACTGGCGACTGCACTGGGCACAGGTCACCAAATCCCAGTCTCCCAGTGCTCTCTCTGCAAAATCCCAGCAAGCCTCCCCCTCCCAAAGCCCTTCCCAGGGCTGCTGCTGAGCCATCCTGCCCCTGGCCTGGTGGGCTGGCAAAGGGACCCGGACACCCGGCTGTGCCCCTCTCCCCATCCCCACCCCCATCCCACCTCAGGGGCGGCAGCGCCTTCCCAGGATGCCCCCGAGCCCATGTGAGTGGCAGTGGCACGTGGCTGTGTCCCCGTGTCCCTGAGGGCAGGGAGGATGCTGGCACCGCGGGCGGGGATGCCCAGGGCGCTCGTGTTCCGGCCGTGAAAGGGGCCGGGGGAGCCTTGGCCGCGGTGGCTGCTCCCCGTGGCGAGCAGCTGGCACAGCTCAGTCCTCCCCATATTTCTGTCTCCCGGCCCTGCTGCTCCTCAGGACTGTCCTTGTCCCACTTCAAACCTACTCCAAGCCAGGGAGCTGGGGAGGTCACATGTATTCCCAGCACATCCCTCTCATGGGCTTCTCCTCACTTGCCTCAGTTTCCCTGCCCATGAAAAAAGCCAGTGGTGATTCCCCAGGAGGAGAAAACAGATCCAGCCCCAGTCAGACTCTGACCAAAGCCGTGTAACTCCACAGGGACTATTTCACCTTGTCCCCAACCTTGTCACTGCCTGGAATCTCTTTCCCTCGTATGTTATAGATCCAGGCTGCATCCAGATGGCTCTACATTCCCTTTATTCCCATAAATAACTATCACAGGCTCAATGCAGCCTCAGAGAGCACCGGTGGCCACCTTGACCCTGTATTTGGGGGGTCCAGGCAGGGATCCCACTCTCCTGGCACCTCATCTTGGCCGGCTGGGGTTACGGGCAGGGGGCAGGTAGGGGCAGGCAGGGGCAGGCAGGTGAGGATGGCTGTTTACATCCCTAATCCCCACAGCCAGCGCTTTCCTCCAGGATTACCGGGGATTAGGGGCTCGGGGGCTTCAGGAGCTCAGCCCGGGCTCTCCCTGCCCTTCAAGGAGCAGCGCTGAGCCCCGCGGGGGCTGGAGGGCACTGCCGGGGTGCGCCGGGCGTTCTCAGGCCGCACTGCCAGGATGAGCTCGGTGTTCCTGACCTGGCCAGGGGGCACAGCCCGGGGCAGCCACTCTCTTGTCACCGCCTCGCTCCGGTAGCCCAGTGCCCATC